TAAAGGTCACCACTCAGCATGACTTAGCACCCGGACAATCCTCTAGACTTACAAGTATTAAATGAATTTGACATATTCAGGGCTGAGAAAAGATTTTATTGTATAGAAAACACTGAAAGTAAGTGGTCTGGGAAACTACAGGATTTATACATATATAAGTGACCCTTGATTTAATTAAATCCCCAGAAAATTCACATCTTTGATATAGCCATGATATCCGCACACTACACACATGTGGCCGTATGCACATGTCGGGCGTAGCTAACGTCAGGCGTAACACACTACGTCGGGCTTAGCAGCGCCCTCCTCTTACTCGTCATGCACAACGTCGGTTAAGCCTAGGCGTTACTACGCCCGACTTAACAGATTTACGTCGAGGCGCAGTGTGCTATTTTTAGATTTTCGAACGTTTGTAAACCACTGGTAAAAGGCGCGAAACAACTTCGCGGTACATCCCTTTCAGCCGTAATCATGGAAAGCCAAAGAAAACCGAGAAAACCCAACTTTACCGATGGATCCTGATGTAGAAATAACATGGACTTTCAAAATGGGCTTCACCATAAATGTCGCCATATTTGACACATTACAAAATCACGATTCACAGCGTTATTTGGTGTATGTTTTCAAATGTTCAAATCGGATAATTACTACTCAGATGTATTGAATTTCAAAAATAGCATATTAATGATCACTGATATCAGGTTTTCATGAAATCACTAATGATCATTCTGAAAATACACTTACAGTTACACGAACGCCGAAGTGCGCTTTCCGTCACATTGGATAGTGTTTACAAAATCACGTTTCGCGGAGACCGGTAATGAGACGCCAATGACATCACGTGTATATCACATTTACCTGCGACAAATGCATCACTGAATTCCCATTACATTTTAGAATCGAATTACAAATGGTCTTTGTCACCAATATCAACTGTCTTGATAAAATGAAACGAAAGATATTGAGTGTCAAAAGTCCAAACGAACGCTGTGCTCGAAAGGCTGCGCTTGTAAAGAAAAAAAAATATTTCCGATTTTATAATACGTATCATTTTCTGAAATTTTCCGACATGCAGCCGTCTATTCATTGCTTGCAATGGCTCAATAGCTTTAGAATATGCATGGAAAGAGTATCGTAGCAAGAAAAGGGAAATTAAAAACAGAAGCAATGCAATCATTTGATATTTCATAAGAAATTGTCAAAGTGTCCGTGCAGCGTGACGCCATGACTGACGCAGAACGACAAAGGTTTTTCTCAGCATTTCTGGCTTCTTCTCTTACTTACAATGAAAACGATAAAACATATAACAATACACATATAGTCAGAATCATTCTGATTACTTACATCTCATATTTATGTACAAACGATCGCTGAATCAAGGGAAGGGTCCTCGCAAAATCCTGTGTACCCTTGTTAGCGTGGCCGCCATTTTATAAGAAATCGGTCAGCGGTAGTGATGTCATACGTCAACATTGTTGTACATGCTAGACAATTTCTTTGAGGTGAAGGTTGGTTGAACAAGAGTAAACACAGTCACCCTATCCTTCCGATTACACTTTCAGTATTATGCGTATCGTTCAGATATTTTTTCATCAAACTATTTTCAGTATATACATTTAGCCTTGTTCAATACCATATTATACCTGGATATAGGTAGGCGTTTTTTATTCTTTGAAAGTTTTTGATTGTTTGAATAATATTTACATAAGAAATTGGCACACGTAGCCATAACTGCAAAATATTTTGGTGTTGTGAAATATTATTTTTCATTTACGTTAAATTGATGCCAAACAGGTGCGCGTGTTGCTCACAATAAGATATGCAGTCAAACCGTCTAATTGTTGATATATTCAGGACACTATTTAATTGGTAAAATCATTCATTTTATGTTTGGTCTAAAGAGTGTTAAATTCTGACATAGAAGCCGAGACCTTTCATACAATTAATGGAATTTAGGTAGGATATTTACTAATCAGCAAACCAATGTCGTCTTTTACGGACGTCGCAAAATGCATAAAACAAGCCATGACGGCAACTGAAATGTTGTATTATTATCAGTAATTTCATTACATTTAAAGATATGGCTAGTACTCCGTTAATAATGATGCAAAATTAGTCAAAATACATCTACACAAACAGGAGAATATGGAAATCTAAGAACTAACTTACATATCGGATAGGGCCATCCACATCGCTATTCTGCTTTCTCAAGTAATACTTTGCCATCTTTTCTTATAAATTGTGAAACTACCAAAACGTATCCGCTCACATAACAACATAACGAAAATATAGCGTAGGTATCCACAACAACTTTTCTCCAAGTGATATGAGTTACATTGACCTAGTGTTAAGCATAACTCAGTTATGCCCCCTTATCTTTTATACGTGTATGACCTCTCTGTCGTCAGTTGATGTCATAGAAGAAAATCCATTTTTGACACTTATTGCGAGTCATTTTTAATGTTGAGCGTCTAACGTTATGCATTAGCACATAAACCCAATTCATATACACTTATGTCGTTCAGATATCAGGCTGTATTTTCTTCGCTCACACTTTCTGTAAAGATGCCAAATTAAAAAAATCGTAGCAGAGTGCTTTTATCGGTGCACGACAAAAAGCGGAGAAATTGACAGTTTCTTAACGCGTAACAAAATTTTAGACAACATTTAGCAGTGTCAATTTCTAAAACCGCCGAGGTAGTCGTGATTTATATTTATACCAACGGATATGAAATTAAATATTCTACATTTCTGTGTAAGTTTATAGCCGTACGCAGATCCAGGACCACGCTTGGCGCAATTCTCGCACAACGTTCACTTTCAAAAACTTTTGAAAATGTGCGCCTGATAAAAAACTCGGCATCCAGTGCCGCCATTACAAGGCTACGCCTGGCTTACGCCTGCTGGGTAGGTGGCGTAAATATAGAGCGCTACGACTGGCGTAACTTTGACTACGTCTACTATGTGCATACCGGTTTAACGTGACGTCCGGGCGCACATTTTACTTACGCCCGGACTAGAATTTACGCCCGACATATGCATACGGCCAATGGTGTTACTTGGTGTACCCATTTAAGTGACATGATAAACAAAATTGTTTGTGGCACTGGTGTAAAGGTTATTTATGATTGAGGTGGAGTGTGTCTTGTCACTCGTAACAGAAGCGTATATACAGAGACACTGCTGTTAGTGGAAGAATACAAGCAAAAAGTCAAACACAGCTAAGGGGAGACAACTTGGTGCTAGCGTTTTTCAGTCAGTATCTAACAGCTGCTTGAGAAGAGTACATTTTTGTCCAAATTTCAGCAAATAACATTAGTTCTTAAGTTATAACCAGATTTCCACAGCTGCACAAGGACAATGCTAACTCCAATGAAATCAACACAAAAACAAAAGTAACTGGAATTAGACAAAAAATTCAATAATCAAATACAACATGATGAATATGATGAAATACTGCATGTACATGCAAACTTTAACAGGTGATACTAAGCTGAATTACTGCCTTGTTCCTGAACATGTCCATTGTACAGAAAAGTAATTGGTGTATATGGTATATAAAGCTGGGTACAGGGGTGGAAATAACCCATTGCCCGACGTCCGAGTCCAGTGTTTTTTTCTGTCAGGCAAGCAAATTTGTATATCACACTGTACCGGTGTCCAGTTGACTTTCCAATGTTAATTATGTCGTTTATTTTAAAAATTCAACAAGAAAATGGCTGGTATAGTGGGAAAATTATCAGGGCAAGTGACTTTACATGTGCCACTGTTCCGGAGTACACTAGCAATTTTAAAGTTATTTCCACCCCTGGGGTATGAAAGCTGTGATGACATCTATTTTTGTTTGAGTGTTCGTTGTTTAATGCTACACTCAGCAATACTCCAATTATATGGCAGCGGTCTCTAAATTCTCCACTGTCAATCCAGTGATTGAAAGCATGAGCATCCATCTACAAAATTGGGTACAATGACATGTGTCAACCAAGTCAGCGAGCCTGGCCACCTGATCCCATTAGTCACCTCTTTGGACAAGTATGGGTTTCTAATCTGGATTTTCACAGGTTGATGACATTTATTACTGATTGTGGAACATGCATCACCTTCAGTCATAAAGTAAAAGACAAAGTGTAAAAGACATGATATATAGATGCACTCTACCAGATTCACACAGACATGCAATACTCTGATGGCCTACTCATGGAAGTGAGAAAACGCATCAGTGAGGACCTTTCCTATAAACCTGGTCAGCAGTAATTGTGGCCGAAGCCATTGATCCATGTGTCTGTGGTATAATGATAGACAATCATAAAAGGTATCTGTTTTTTCCTGAGCCAACCTGACAAAATACTAAAGTCCAAGCAAAACACATGAATATCTTTTTCAGGAACTCATAGTTTGGACTTCTGAAAAGCCCATAAAAGAGTTACATCTGGTGTTGGGAATTGGATGAAATCTCACAATTGATGATTGGTTCATTACCAACCAGCAATCATCGAAACAAAATTGGTTAGCGTAATTTTTCAGACTTTCCTATTCAGGTTGTTATTGCAGATAAGTATAACGTGGTTCTTTGTTGTTGTTTTTTGTTTGCATTTGCAAACTTCACATCCCAGGTAAAATGAGGCAACTTGGTACTTTAAAGTGATGACTAATTTATCATGAACATAAACCTCCTGAAGATCCAGTCATGACTTTTCAGATAGTGAAGTGTGATTTCTAAGAATTAAACACATTTTCAGGCTGTGACAGTTTCTAAGATATGTTTCAAGTGTTTCAAACTCTAAAACAGTAGTTCCAAAATCGTTTGTGTTCAATTATGAGAAAATATGATCGATTGCTTGGTCGTTGGTCACTGCAACCAATCTTCGAATATTTCAATTAATCGGAACACCAAAAGTTACATCAGCATGCTGTAAAGTGTTGCAGACAATATGTCTTTTGGTCTCCTACCAACTCTGTTATAACACTTTAAAGATGTACAAGTCAACATAATATCTCACCTTCGTCAGTATCTCCATCATTTTCATATCCGCACTGTTTCCACTGGTCCTCAAACATTGTGTTCCCAGTAAGACTGTTCACATAGATCTTCTTGCCTGATAAGCGAATGTGATAGATATAGGATCATACAGAGGACAATGTTTATCATGCTGACTTTCTGACAGCCACATCGGCATGATCATAATGATCAGAGGATAGCATGAGCAATGATCTACAATGACAACAGGGGTGGAAATAACCCATTGTTTTTTTTCTGTCGGGCAAGCAAATTTGTATATCACACTGTACCAGTGTCCAGTAGACTTTCCAATGTAAATTATGTTGTTTATTTACAAAATCAACAAGAAAACGCCGGTATAGTGGAAAAATTATCAGGGCAAGTGATTTTACATGTGCCACTGTACCGGAGAACACTAGCAATTCTAGAGTTATTTCCACCCCTGTGACAAAGGTACTGATGTCTAAACAGAATTACCACTTCCGTGCATATTCAAACTAAACTTTACCTGTAACACATGTTACATTTGGGATTACGCCTTCTTAGTAAATTACAGATTCTAGTACTTTTGTTGGGTTGAGTCCCATCCGGGATTCGAACCCACACCCTCAGAGTCAGGTACCTAATCGTCAGCACACAAAGTCAGCCACCTAACCCGCTCAACCACTGTGACTTCCACAAAAATGGACAACTGGTAGTCTTTGAGTGGCAATTTCACAAGTTGGAGAGTCAGACAAGGACAAACTTTATTGATTTCATCCAGTACGGCAGGTATATAAGTTGTGCCATGCACAGTCAACAAATGTTAAACCTTGCATTAGCATGATAATTACAGATACATCACTATGGTGACAACATGAATATTAAACTGATATGGACAGTTAACACTTACATAGATTAACATCTGGTCTCTGAAATTAAAATATTTTACAGAAAAAAAGGGTTCCTATATTAGGCCAGACCAATTCTATGTCTTGTTTTACGGATCCGCCTGTCATATTTTTTCAAGAATAAGAAAAAAAATAAAAATTAATTTTCCCCGCTCAAAAAATTAAACATGTATTTATAGGCCAAAAATGTAAACTTACAAGAAAATTGTTTTTAGGTTGTTTATTGCCCCATATACACTTCAAAAATTGCCAAAAGTAAAATACTTTGAGCATTTAGAAGGAATATCACTTTATTGGTGATTTTATTTTTATTTTATTTCCCACCTGCCTTTAAGCTTTCTGAGGTCAAGAATCCGTAAAACAAGAATAAAATTGGTCTGGCCTTATATAAGTAAAAAATACGGACACTTTCTTCATTTTCAGAACCTGTGGTAACCTGGACTTATGACATTCTAGACTTGCAAGGGCTGTTTTGGGTATATTTGTTTCAGGGTTGGTATGACAGACTAACACAGACAAAATAATTAATTTCTACATTTTACCTGTCTTGGGATCCTCCACATCTGACCATGTCGGTTTTGTCACTGTCTGGATGTGTGTCCCCGTTGAGCTGCAAGATGGCTGATCATCTGTGTCTCCAGTGATGAAACAACTAGATCCAAGGTCCCTATTTCCAATGTTCACATCAGACACTGGTCCACAGCTGGAGTCACAGGCTTGTTCCCCATCACACTGGCTTGAACCATGATTTGATGAACAAGACTTAGTATGAATATCATCCAGAGTTATCTCCCTTGAATCAACAAAATTTTCTGTCATTTCATTGTCAAATTCTTTTGCAAGATTTTCATCTATTTCATTCAAATTTTCTAACACAGCTTCTGTAGGTGTGACTTCCATAGGCACACCTATGCATGAATTATCCGCAGAAGACTTAGTCTGTTGATGGGTGCTTTGTGCCCTGTCAGGCATGGTCTCACTTACATCATCACTATAACCTCTGCCATAAACCTGAATTTCATTATCCTGTGAGTCTCCCGGCAGCAATTTTCTCAAGGGGAAGGAATCATCTGTACTGGTCAATTTGGTTGAATCTGCCTGTTGGGGACTGCGCTGACCACATGTTAAGGAGTTAAAATCCGGACAATCCTCAAATGTAGAATGAGGCAGAGAAATCAAAGGTGAGTCTGATGCAAAATCATCTTCCTTCTTCATAGAGATATACGATGGCTTTGAAGTGGTGATTGAACACGAGTCAGCAAGAGTCATCTCACTTTCAGAATCTCCACTCTTCTCCTCCTTATTCCAGCATGAAGTACCAGACGGAAGGAGAACAGAAAAGGATGAATCAGGCAAGTCTGGGTCAGCAACATCTTCCTCTTCTTCACCAATAACAGAACCATCACCAGTCAAACCAGGCAGTGTTTCGTAGACATAATCTACTTTCCCAGCTGGGCTAGAGGGTGATCCTGTCATGGGTGTAACTCTATCAACATTGGGTGAGAATCCCCCACTTTGACAATCCTCATCGTATGCTTTCACATCCATTGTAAAGCCTTGTGAAGATAGACCAGTTGGCTGGAAGCTCTGTGTGCAGTAAGCTGGAGGAGAGCCACCCTCTTGATCAGACACTTCAGGTGAACAAATGTCCACATGTGGCAGAATTACCGAGTCTACACTCTCTGTTTCCGATAAATCTAAATAATCTGGCATTGTACTGTCGTCAACTCGGTCACAAACTCTGTCGGAGTATGACGTGAATGGCAGTAAAGTTCTTCCAGTTCTACCTCTTTCACATGTTACATTCTGGTTTAAATCAGAACCCTGTAATGACTTCTCACTGCTTGATGTGACAGGGTTATTTCCGTCAGCCTCAAAATCAGTAGGAGCTGTTGGTAGTTCTAACGGATCAGGAACTGCTGTATCAACCAGAGTTTCCACCTTGTTCTCATTTTTGTCAGAGATGACGTTCTCTACATCTTTGAAAACTGATGCAGGTGTCTCAACAAAGGATGAAGATGACAGGAACTCTCTACTGCATGTTTTCACACAAGAATCATCAACACAACTCCTTTTGGCTAACTTTGATAGCTTTGCTGCAGTTGATAAAGCAAATGGATTAAATCTTTTCCTGTCTGAATGTTCTGATGTTGAAGTGAGATGCTCAATGTCATCAAGAGTGGGCACAACGGGACTCCTTTCACTGACATATTGTTCTGCAGCTGCTCTGGATAGTGATGGTTGTTGTTGGATTTGAATGGCAGATGTTGACACCACTGCTATGTCCTGGACTGTAGAAGATGAAGGTACATTGGTAACAAATGTTTGTTGATGAGCTATCTGTTCTCCATAATGAATGGTAGAAAAGTCATCCTGTGATGGCAAGCTGCTTGTCCTGCATGAATCTCTAAGCTGAGTGAAGCTGCTATGAACATAATCATGACATGCTTCTTTCTTAGCAGATTCTCCATAAACAATACTAGTTTCTGATCCTCTTATTTGTTCAGAAGAAGCTTCCCTTGCTAAAGGTTCTGACAGCCCTGTTGTTTGATTACCCGAAGTTCCAGGATTGTTGGAACACTGCCTAGTCTCAAGGTTAGTGTTCTTAAATTTTTGTAACTTGGCACTGATGATTCTCTTTCCTGCTGCAGACCTTGCATTTAGAACCAGTCTTTCATTGATCTTCTTGGCTGCAGACTTCTCAGCATGTTCTTCATCAGCTCTGGTTTCACTGAGGCTACGGAGAGCTGCAAGTCCAAGTCTCTTGCACATCTCGACTGCTGATGATTTTGATTTCTGTGAGATGAGGTGAAGGTTCTGTAACTTCTGTCTTCCAGAAGTGGAAGCACTAGGAGGAGAGTCTGGTAGACATATAAAGGCTTTCGTTTCAGTTTCTACATTATACAAAGTGTCAGACTTCATCTTTGTCAGAGAGGCTCTTAAGGTACTGGGTAAGGGATCTTCACTGTCGTCAGATGGATTTGATGCTGTGATGTCCACAGCTATGGATTCAGGTAGCTGCATTGGTTCCTCCGAAATGTTGTCATCAGCTACTTCCTTCCCATCACCTGACTGGTGGTCTGTGACTGTTGAGGTCAGTAAATTGATAGATATTGCTTCATGGAGTGACTCAGAAGAATACAGAGTTGAATTGTTCATTTCAGGAGGCTTCTGATATTTACCAGCAATTGGTGTTTGAGCTGGTGTTTGAGACGATTTTGCTGTACAAATGCCATTTTTGTCGGACATATCCCCATCACTACTGTTTTGAGCATGTAACACAGGTGTCTCATTTATCACATTAACTTCAGTTGATGATTTTGAAATATTTTCAGAATTGACTGAGTCCTCATCCTTTTGGTTTATCAAACTTTCGTCTTGAATAAGCTGATTCCTTCGAATTGCCATAACATCCCGAGGTCTCCTCACTCTCTTAGAGAAGAGGCAGTTAGATGCATTGAGTGTAGAAATGTTCTCTGTATAGTCCTTAACTTTGGCTTCGGGATCTGATGAATCAGTGGCTTGATTTATACCCGACTTCGATCCTTCAGCATCTTCACCTCCCTGGGGTGCCCCATCCCCACTGTCTGGGATCTTCAGTGCATCACTTTGGCTGCTCTCACCTGGTACTGTGACAGGAGAAACTACAGACAGGTCTGACACAGAAACCAGGTTCTCTTTCTTCAGGAACTCCATTATCATTTCATCAATGCCGTCGGTCAAAGCTGTCCAATCTTTGAACTCAACTAATGTCTTTGCTGGGTCAAAGGTGATATCATATGCATCAAGTGGACATTTCACATTGATAACAAACATGGCATACTTATCTCCTTGTTTTGGTGGACTTGAGGACGGGGCACCTGCCAATTGTGATCCTCCCATACTCCCTTCAAAGTTGGATCCTTTTCTCTTTAATACAAGAGACCTTCCCAATGTATGATTCAAAATTTTGTGTACTTTCGTCTTCAGAACCAGTCTACCATTGACATATACAAACTGCAGGCTCTTACTGCAGTGACCTTCTTTCCCAATAAAGCCTTCCACTTGAAAACAACCCTCCTGGAGAGATACCTCTCTCAAACATTTAGACTTCCCAGTACCAAACAGATGCATAAAGGCTGTTAACACACTGCTACTTTTCTGTGTCTGTAAAAGTATGTTCCCGTTAATATCATTTCTGAGACTGAAGCTTACAGATGGGTGGATCAAAGCAATTCCTTCAACTCTATAGCGTATCCTCTCTAGTTCCAAAGCTTCATTCATGTTTTTCTTCCTCACTGGTAGACTGTAGAACAAGTCGTGGGCTGTCACAGTGGTACCTATGGACGGTCGATGAATAACAGACTCTGACACTGCCTGTGCAACACCTTTCTGGAACATCTTACAGTATGTCTGATGGGACCTACTGGTTCGACTGTTTATCTCCAGCACAGCTGCTGTATCGCGCATGCTTGCAATAGCCTCACCCCGATAGCCGAAATACTGAAGATTGTTTAGATCTTCAAGCTCATGACACTTGCTGGTGGAGTACCTTAAACAGATATGGGCACATTAATTAATGACTACATTAGAAATTATTTCATATGTTTGTTGCAACCAAGGACTCTCATGTCAAACTTGCCAAAATAATGCCTGGGAAGATGATTTTATAGTTATCATGCTCCCTCATTACATTTGAAATACTTTATGAAATATAGATACATGCTCTATTCATCTTTTGTTTGTTAGAAACTTGTCATTTTGTAACACCCTATATACATCAGCTATCAGGCAAGACATCCCAATCATTAAAATGCTATAGAGTTTGATGTGCTTTCATTTACTTACGTCACAGTTGAATTTTCCCTAAGAAATATTTGAAATCTAAATATGTAATTTTTAGAGTAAAATTGATATTTTATACTTATCCTGACTCATGCTCTTTTGCTTGTCTTCTTCTTCTTGCGAACATAGTGGAACACTTGTATCTCCCTAATTGAAGTTCCCTTCAATAAAGAAATCACTAATTAGTACTCACGAGTTACCTGCCCTCCACAAGCGCAGGAACGAGGGCGCCACCTCCACCCATGTGCCTCACTCTCTCCTCATATACTGAGCCCAACATTTGAATTTTCAGGGAAATCCAAAGTGTTATGTGGGGAGGATGGGAGGGCTTACCTCATGAGTCAGGATAAGTATAAAATATCAATTTTACTCTAAAAATTAAATATTTTTCCTTATCCTGACTCATGCTCTTTTGCTTGTAGAATCCCACGGAAAAGGAGGTGGGAATATATAATACTTTGGATTTTAATAATTAGTGATTTGAACTGTGATGATTGTAATAACCCCTATGGGAACTTCATAAAGGCACTGAACTGATGAATTCCTGCTGCTAACTTATCAGCTGCCATATAAAGGTTATTACAATTTACTTATTATGATAAAGTATATATAACATTAATACAATGCTTAAGACTAATAGACTTAAGCTTGTTAATATGATAGTATAAACTCCTTAGAGTTTGTTAGCTAAAATACTTTATGATATAAACATAGTACTGAGCTTAAGATATGATTAAACTTAAGCTAAATATATAATAGCAAAACTCCTTAGAGTTCATTAGCTAATATACTTTATAATGTAATCATAATGCTTAAGATATGATGAAACTTAAGCTAAATATATAATAGCAAAAAACCCTTTAGAGTTTGTTAGCTAATATACTTATATGATATAAACATAGTATTGAGCTTAAGATATGAAAGAAAACTTAAGCTACATATATAATAGCAAAAAACTCCGTAGAGTTTGTTAGCTAATACATGTTATAATGTAACCATAATGCTTAAGATATGATGAAACTTAAGCCAAATATATAATAGCAAAAACTCTTTAGAGTTTGTTAGCTAATATACTTATATGATATAAACATAGTACTGAGCTTAAGATATGAATAAGCTTAAGCTACATATATAATAGCAAAAACTCCGTAGAGTTTGTTAGCTAATATATTTTTACGATATGAGAATAGTATTGTGCTTAAGATATAATTAACTTAAGCTACATATATAATAGCCAAAAACTCTGTAGAGTTTGTTAGCTAATACATTTATAATGTAACCATAGTACTGAGCTTAAGATATGATTAAACTTAAGCTAAATATATAATAGCAAAAAACTCCTTAGAGTTTATTAACTAATATACTTTTATGATATAAACATAGTACTGAGCTTAAGATATGATTAAACTTAAGCTATATATATAATAGCAAAACTCCGTAGAGTTTGTTAGCTAATACATTTTATAATGTAACCATAATGCTTAAGATATGATGAAACTTAAACTAAATATATAATAGCAAAAAACCCTTTAGAGTTTGTAAGCTAATATACTTATATGATATAAATATAGTACTGAGCTTAAGATATGAAAGAAAACTTAAGCTACATATATAATAGCAAAAACTCCGTAGAGTTTGTTAGCTAATACATGTTATAATGTAACCATAATGCTTAAGATATGATGAAACTTAAGCCAAATATATAATAGCAAAAACTCTTTAGAGTTTGTTAGCTAATATACTTTTATGATATAAACATAGTACTGAGCTTAAGATATGAATAAGCTTAAGCTACATATATAATAGCAAAAAACTCCGTAGAGTTTGTTAGCTAATATATTTTTACAATATGAGTATAGTACTGTGCTTAAGATATAATTAACTTAAGCTACATATATAATAGCCAAAAACTCTGTAGAGTTTGTTAGCTAATGCATTTATAATGTAACCATAGTACTGAGCTTAAGATATTAAAAGAACTTAAGCAAAATATATATAGCATGTAGCTATTTAGTACTGTTATAAGATAAGTAGAAATCTGTAAGATTGACTTACCTTCTCCGAGGAACTGTCAACTGCTGTGCGAGGACCATGGGACCGAATTGGTGGATACCTGAGACGTCCTCGGTGGTGATATCTCTCAGATAATGGTTGGCAAACACCATATCGGATCTCCAGAAATAACCCTCCATTATTTCAATAGCACTTGTGTAGAGCAATTGTAGAAGTTAGCGCTCTAATATCATGAGGATTAGAAGCTCATGGAGGGTCGAGTCCTGCAGTCTTGTAGGCACGTAGTATGACAGTTCTGATCCAAAAGGAGATAGTAGTGCAATGAGACTTCAGTTCTGCGTAGCTTGATGATAGAGGAATTAATCTCTCATGTTTCCCTCCTGTTTGGCTCGGTGGAGATATATTTACAGTGCTCTTACTGGCCATCGTGATAGATTCATCGTATCATGGAGTCCAAGTATATCATCAAAGCGTGTTCATAAACCTCACTTGTGAGGTGTTGGAGCACTATATTCAGATCCCAAGTTGGAGCGTGAAACTTCCGTTTTAATCCTCCAATCAGAAAGCTTCAGTAGGTTTACTAACCATCTAGTTGTGTTAGTAGCTTGATGATGAAATTCAGCTGTAGTCTGAGACGCTGTGGATTGGGATCCACTTGTATCCCGTCGTCTAGGTAAATTCGCTGCGAAGTCCTTGACGATGTAGGTGCACAACCAGGTGTGACTGTCATCGTTGAACTTTATGTAAAAATCGCCTGACGACTGCCGTGCCTCGTCCCTTATCTTGACAGGGGAGGTCTCTAACCTCAAGAAGGCAGCCCAATCATGAAGGTTCAGATTAGCTGGACTGTAAGGGAGGCTTGCTCGATTCACTGATATATTGTTGTCACTTGCAACCTAAGTCTTGAACTGTGAACTAAGATTGACCTCTCATGGTCGTTGTCCATCATCGCGTCCAATCAGAACAAGGCATTTTGATTCTGTAGAATACCCGCTGTGATGTCACCGGTGTAGCAGGAAAAAGAACCTTGTATAATATCGTGCCGTCGTTGATGTTAGAACAATCGTCGGTCTTCACCGTAGCTTCCCGAAGTTACCCGAGTGACCACGTGTTTCGAGGGTTAATGGTAAACACGCTGAACCTCCGCCGAAATACCTCGCTCTGTAATATTAATGCTGGGTAGGTTATTTTCCTGGCTGTCGTGAAAGTAACTTCAGTTTTGAATATAATTCCGACTTCCTTATATAAAGGTACAATAAACTTGCAAGTTGTCAACTTGTAGACTGTATACATGAATGTATCGACATAATTGTAGAATTAAAGCTGAACTTGTTGTACATATTTCTTCTCAGAGAACGTCGACGATTATGAGTTATAGTTATACTCGCTGTAACAAGGCTGCTGTTCAATTTCGATATTGAATTGTCTGCAGATCTGCGTAATGGTCATGCATGTAGATAATCGTATCGTAGTCCGCGATTGCATATCTAGCAATCTATACGGAAAAGTTGATTCCTGTGAAGATCTATGAAACATCGTTGACTAATTAATACAGCGGACGTTCTGTGTTGTAAATAGCCTGTGCAATTGTCTTCGCCAGGCTTGTAGACGGCATATGGCATACAGTTGATAGACAACTCATGCGATGTCTTGAACGGACTGGACAGTGGCTATATATGACGAAAGTGGCTAGTATATGGAGACCTTGGAGGAGACTTCCTCGCTAACTGAGACTTCGCCAAGCTCGAAGTATCCCTTCTAGATCTTCTGGGTGAAGTAGACTTGGAGCCACTTAGCCTTAGCGACCTTCGAAGGTATCGAGTCAGAGCCCGATCAATATATATATGGAGCTTGCTTCGCTGAATCCACCTCTGTGTTCAACAGGTGTGGGCTCGGCTAAAGCGCTTACTCCTCCTCAGCGACGCCCCTTGCAACTGGTGAGGCTCTAGCTCCTTCGCGGAGGCTGCCTGGGACTTCCTTAGCGAAGCGGCGTGTCTAGAGTCCGATCAATATATGAGCGCTTTGCTTTGCTAACCTCACTCTGTGTTCTACAGGGTGTGGTTCTTGCTGGTCCTTCTTTGCATAAGTTGGGTCGAGTAGATCATCCTATCATCTTCAGAAGTCGTGCGAAATCTGGTGATAAGAGTCTCATTGATCGTTCTAGATCTATTAAGGGCCAAAGAACATACGCCCGTCATAGTGTGGCGTTTGAACTTTCGTGGCTTTATGGAAGGCTGTGTCCAAATTCTGTGGCACCGCAGCAATCGGGTCGATCGAGGTAAGGTGATGGCGCCTGCATCGTCCTCCTTCATCAGGTAAGTATGCCGGAAGTTACCACTCTTGGAAGGTGAAGAAAGGTCTAAGTTGTTAACCATCCAATAACGTATCTCAGCGTCTGAGAAAATGATACCTCCATCATCTTCTACCACGGGATCGCTGATAACAGGTTGATGCTCTTCTGATGGTGGACTATGTGCTTCTACCACTGTACAGGGTGACGTTAAAGGAGACCTGACTGTGGACTTCTGTGAAGACTTATGTGGTGACCTGCGAGGAGATCGACGTGGTGATGTACGAGGAGATCGGCGCGGTGAACGGCGAGGTGATCGGCGAGGGGATCATCTTGGTGAATGGTCTGACGAGCTGCATCTTAAGGTTGACCTTCGCGGAGATCTGTGAGGTGAATGTTGACAGCTTCGCGAAGCTCTTGTGGAATCCCTCGATGTCCTTCTGGACGAAGATGATTTAGAGCCTGTTAATGGTGCCCTTCGCGAAGGCCTTCGCGAAGCTTCCTCTGCGTCCGGTCCTGGGGAACGACGACTTGACCTTCGCGAAGGCTTTCGTGAAGTCTGGTGGTCCAAGTCCGAATCTAAGGATGAAGCCGAGGTAGGTGATGATCTATCAAGCCTTCGCAAGGCTGTACATCTGGGTCCTTCGTCGAGGTGGTCTGTGACTTCCTTCGCGAAGGTGGCTTCGTCGTGGCCGCTACGTTGACGGGGGGTCCCTCTGGGGTGTCGTCTACGTTGGAGCCTTCGCGAAGGTTCAGGTCCTGGGCTGATTGTCTCTCCAGTCTGTAGTGGTCCTCCATCATCTTCATGATTTGCCGCATCAGGTCGTCTGGGACGGTCTGCGACGATGTAGTCGGTGCCCTCTCTGCGATGTTAGCGACGGGGCCCTCAGGAAGATCGTCCGACATCGGTGTAGACACATCAGGCTGCATGGCGATCTGTGCTGACGTCATTTTTGCCAACCCCGGTCGTCTCTTGTGGCGAAGATCGGGGATGATGATCGGCTGATCATCGTAGAGGCCCAGTTCAGCGGCTGGAACAATCTCGGCTGAGAAAGTCCTAGATGAAACTAGTGTTTTGGTGTCCATATTTTTTTAATAATGTGGTTCCGTTTCCGCCAGAGAAAATTGGTTCCGTTTTTGCCCGAGTGGTTCCGTTTTCGCCAATTGGATTTTGGTACCGTTTTGACGTGGTTCCGTTTCCGCCAATTGGTTTTTGGTACCGTTTTGACGTGGTTCCGTTTTAGCCTGCACCCGTCTAAAATGTCATCTCAGCAAAATGCCACCAATTTCATCTGGAGAAAACAGCACTGGTACTGAGTTTCAGATGTTAATAATTTGAATTATAACAAACACATTCTGTATCTATATATTGTTTACAAAATACAATGACAGAATGTCTCGGGTACCAAATAATCATCACCTAACACACTGTAGATGAAGTCCTAGTAGACTTCGTTGATTTCCCCTCAGAGGTCGACGCTGCCCTGGGGGTGCGAAGTCTGCGTTGAGATGAAGTAGAAGCCCTCTAGTCTTCGGCTGCGACGACGGGATGTCTGGGAAAGCAGGACGCTTCTTGGAGACGGCGGACTACGTCCAACGCCTCTCCACCACTCTAGCGGAACACCAGACGGGAGGGGGGTCGACCAACAGCAGTAGACTGGCGAGGGTTCAGGTGTATCAGTCATGGCTAGACTCTGCTTACGCGACCTATCTGCTGCGCGTCTCAAACGCAAAGTAAATATTTATTAAAAGCAGAATTGGATAAATTAGTACAGCAACTGCAACGTGAATAAAATGAACATGGCGCAGTACAGCTAGGGCATATTAAATGCGGATCAGCAGCAGAAAAAACGTAATCTGCAAACAGTACAGATTTTCATCAACGTAATCCACTGAACAAACACGGCTTCCCGTGAATAAACAGTAGAAACACGACTAAATATCAATACATAATTGTTGAAGGATACTAGCTAAACCTCTATAGATGCCTATACGAGGTAACTAACTAAAAATAATCAAAGGATATAGTGTGTAGGGAGACACAGGCGCTCTCACATCCTGCTCACTGGGCGAAGAAGGAGAGAGTGAGGCACATGGGTGGAGGTGGCGCCCTCGTTCCTGCGCTTGTTGAGGGCAGGTAACTCGTGAGTACTAATTAGTGATTTCTTTATTGAAGGGAACTTCAATTAGGGAGATACAAGTGTTCCACTATGTTCGTAAGAAGAAGAAGACAAGCAAAAGAGCATGAGTCAGGATAAGGAAAAATGATAAATTTTATGATCTGAAATATTTGGATAACTGTCTTTTTTGTCCTTGAGGTGTAAAACATCATTCATGGTCAGACTGTCAATGGAAACAAACCAATCAATAAAACTGTACCTCTCACCAACTTTCTCCAGTTGGTCTCTGCCTATGCCTTGACCATTGTCCACTGCCTGTACCTTGAAGCAAGGTAGATCTACTCTGACTGCTATGCATGAGGCACCAGCATCTAGCGCATTCATGATAAGCTCCTCTACACATTGTGTGAGGCTGGTGATGGCCACGCCAGAACGCAGGTGGGACTGTACCTCATCAGAGAGCTGACGGATCATCTCAGAGTGTCAAATTGTCAAGCCATTGCCCTTTGCAGCCAGACCAACATCTTCCTGGATTCTATAATACTGAAAGAAATAACAAAATTGTCAAATGTAAAACTCCCCTGTGGATGTTACTCTGAGTGTTTAAGTGAGTGAGTGAGTGAGGGTGTATGCTGCTTCTAGCAATATTCCAGCAATATCACAGTGGGGGACACCAGAAATGGGCTTCACACATTGTACCCATGTGGGGAATCGAACCCGGGTCTTCGGCGTGACAAGCGAACGCCACCCCACCGCCAGAGTGTTTAAGACAATGAAGTAGCTGCAAAAATATCTGAAAAAATATTTCAGTTCCTGAATTAATCTACTGCCAGTGAATGAAAAAAGAAAGAGGCTTTGTGTGTGTTGGCTAGGGGTGGTCAGTAGGGGATGTGTGTGGTTGTGGGCGGGGATGGGGCATGAGTTAAGTGTTGAGAGCTACCGTTGCTCACAGCAAGCAGTTTGGTACACACCCACAATTTGGAGCAAAAGATGATAAATATATCACAGATGTAATATTGAATTAGCCTTGATAGCATTTGGTACAACAAAGATTTAAAATAAATTCTGCTTTGATAAAAATCTATTTTTGACATAAAAAACCAATCAGGCCCCGATTTCTCGAAATAAACTTTTACTCAAATTTCAAACTCAGTTTGACAATTTGAAACAGCTGAATTTTTAACTCAACTGCATTTTTAAAATAAAAAACCCCAAACACCTTGTCATCTATCTACCAAACTCAAATTGTCCACTATGTTTGAGTTTAATATTGATTTCAGTTTATTCTGAGAAATGCATTTTTCTGTGTTTTCTCAAATTTGAGTAAAAACTCAAACTTAAGTCAAAATTCAGACTTAAGTTGGTTTCAAGTTCAAAACTCTGTGCCAGATCGAGAGGCATATGAAACAGTCTAAAATGACAGGCAGTCTAAAATGTCATCTCAGCAAAATGCCACCAATTTCATCTGGAGAAAACAGCACTGGTACTGAGTTTCAGATGTTAATAATTTGAATTATAACAAACACATTCTGTATCTATATATTGTTTACAAAATACAATGACAGAATGTCTCGGGTACCAAATAATCATCACCTAACACACTGTAGATGAAGGCACAACCTTTGGATTTTGTAGATCGAGCAACTGAAAACGAACTCTATTCTTAGTATCTTACCCAAGCCGAGATGCACGGTCATGTCTTAACTGGACCTATCGCGGCGTTCGGCTACCGATATGAACAACTGGGACAAGGGTTTAATGTCACATACATTTTTCTTTTTACACAAAACTTACGTAGAAGGGTGCTCTGGTGGGGGTGGGGAGAAGAATTCGGGGGCTGACTGAAGTATAATAATTATCAGTTACGAAGAACAAGTTATCACTCGACAATCGGCTGTGACAGTGTGTCAGCAAAAACAAGCAGCACTTTTTCATAACGAAACTGGAAAATGACTCAGACACCAGGAAAGAAAATGACAGATGTTGGTACGTTACATGTTCAGTGACAGTACGTACATTCAAAGCGGAAACATCGTGACTCCATCTAACCGGATGTTTATGTGTTATGAAGGATCGTTTGTAAATCTCGTGTCAGATGGTCTCGCGCGAGGTTGGTTTGATCTAAAACTCGGATTCGTCCAGCCGGAACTAAGGATTTGACCGTAATTGTGGCAAAAGTCCGACCTTCGTAATCGGTATATCGGTAAAAATGAGATTGCCATCACTGGTATTTCGTTTGTTTTTACTAATTGAAATACTATAAATGTGGCATTAGTTTGTAAACAGGTCTTGAAAATGAAACATACAACCGATCAAACAATAGGAAATGCCAGTTGTTTACGGAAGTGATATCAAGAGGCTAGGTTGCGCGCGCAACCGGTAGGCAGAAGGCAACAATGGCCACCGACAACAATGCGAATCGCTGTAGCATGGAAGTTAAACAATGGTCAGATTATGTGCTGAAGTTATCTGTTGAAGACCGCGAGAGGTATATTTCAAAGCTGACATCTGGTGAGGGTACTCGTAGTTTGCCAGACCCCTATTGTTTGGCGAGCGGCTGGGTTGACGACCCGTCTTTGTGGCCGGCCATAACATTTACGGACATATATTTCTATCTTGTGGATACACCAGGACAATTCACTCACGACAGTTTGAGGGCGTACAAATCCTTAAAAGCGTACGACTACGTGGAAAGTGGACATGTTTACCCTATCTTTTATAATGCAATTGACGACCAGTCACCTTACTGCATTTTGAAGACGAAGGTGATTCCATCCCAGCGCCTTCGTGACAAACCACATCAGCCATGGGTTTGTGTCAAGAAATCTGAGGGGACAGTGTTTTGTGCCCACTGCACGTGTATGGCTGGGTAAGTTGGTTTTTTTATTGTATATAGTTGCCTATAATTTTCAACAGTTTTACCCAAATAACAGTGTATTTTTAGGATTGAAATATCTCAGATCTAAATTAAAGGATCCATATGTAATGGTTGGATTTTTGTAACAGATTCTATTTTTCATTGTTCCTTTTGAATTCTCATATCAATATCATTGCTTCAATACTTTTTAATATTATATAAAATTATACAATTTCATCTGTATGGTTCAAAAGGTGTTTTTCACGTTTTTAAGTGTACAGCTACTTCTCAGATTATATAATTTTTAATATAATAAAAGATATTGTTTGGATATTTCAGACTTGGAGAGGTATGCAGTCATGTGGCAGCCCTACTGTTCGTTCAAGGTTGATGCAGCTGTGAGGGCAGGATTAACCTCAAAAGCTTGCACCAGTGAAGCGTGCAAGTGGAATGCTGCTTACAGAAAAGAAGTAATGCTCTCACTTTTTCATATAAAATAATATACTTATTTAGCTTACTGTTCAGTATCATGTACTTTACATATGAAAACCATAGAAAATGAGGGGACTTACATTCATTATCAATTAGTGTTATATTTATATTGGCAATGAGGTGGCATAATGGTTGAAGTGTCTGCCTAAAACCACACACAGTTGCTCACTCTTACCTTATTATTTCAGCTCCAGCCCACCCCACTGTGTGAGGTTCAGCATCTGTTTGGACGTCGTCGGAAGGCAAACACTCCATCTGTGTCAGGAACAGGAAAAGCTCCACTTCCTGATATTGAAACACTTAAGTCGTTGAAAAGTGTATGCCCTAATGCTGTCTTTTTTTAAGTGTATTCCTCCACTAGATGAAGAGGAAACCGACAGTGCTGAAGAAGATGGCGAGACACATTTGTTCCCCCCAACAATTACAAGTCTTGTGTGTGAGGACAGAATCACTGATGAAAATCTCGAGTCTGTTTGTGAGGAGCAGTGGAACTCTTATCAGTGCGAACCGGCACAGATTAGCAACTTGGAGGAAGTTACCAAGAACCAAGCTATTAGCCCTCTTTGGTTTGAACACCGAAAAGGAAGAATAACCGGAACCAAAGCCCATGATATCTTGGTGATGAAGAAGACCACAGATCCAAAGAACACCATCATGAAGGTAATGGGCTATAACACAAAGGACATCTCCAAGAAAGCTGCAGTTGCCTGGGGCAGTGACAATGAGGCCAGAGCACGTAAACAGTATGCGAAACATCAGACAACACAGCATGCTCAGTTTGCGTGTAGAACAGTGGGGTTACTGATAAGTTTGCAAAAAACCTTACATGGCAGCATCAAGTGATGGCACTGTTATGTGCAAGTGTTGTGGTAATGGATGCTTAGAGATAAAGTGTCCATACAAGCACAGGGACCATGACATATCCACAGCAGTAAATGATAAGACCTTTTGCCTGGACAAGGACTTACACCTCAAGAAAGGACATAAATATTACTCACAAGTGCAGCTTCAAATGTATGTGCATGATGTAACCTACTGTGACTTTGTCATTTTTACAAATAAGGACATGACAATAGTCCGTGTGCCCAGGGATGATGAGTTTTGTTCAATTCTCATAGCAAAGTGTGACACATTTTCTTTAAACACATTTGCGGAAATTGTTTCAAGGAAACTTGAAAATGCAAAGCCTTGTTTGAGCGATGTTGTTACAGACACTGGTAATTCAGATATATGGTGCCTATGCCAGCAGGAGGAGTATGGTCGCATGATCATGTGTGAGGAGCCAATTGTTAGTACACTTGGTTCCATTATAAATGTGTCAACATTAGAAGGAAACCAAAGGGTTCTTGGTACTGTCCAAGTTGTATCATGGGATAAAGTTTCATACATGTTCAGAAGGAATCCCTTAGATCAGAACATAAGAAATTTGTTCAAGTATGTGTAAGTGCAGCTATGTAACCTCTTAGCAAAATTTTCACCATTAACATGGCCAAACTAAAATTTCATTTAAAGGTTAACTGTCAAATGGCTGACATGTGTTGGATTAGCAGACATGTCTTTACAATGGTACTATGTTACAAATATGTCAAGTGTATATGCATGTACACTATAAATGTCCCTCCTACTGACCATGCGAGTCATTAATTGATTGTGGAGACATGCCATCTCGACACACAAATTCTGTCATGTAAAAACCAGGCCAGAGGGAAAAACTGATTTATGTATCTTCATATCATTTTGTTATTATATTTGTAATGTTTAATTCAATTGTGTTATCAATCACAAAACACTCAGATGATGTCAAAGAAAATTGTATTGACAATCATATTCTTTTTGTATATTTCAAACATGTCAACACAAAATGTATTGTTTTCAGTAGACTTCTACATGTCAATCTTCTGTAGGAAGAAACATCACAGTATCAATCACAAAACATTCAGATGTTGTCAAGCAAATTGTATTGACAATCATAGTCTTTTTGTATATTTCGAACATTTCAACACAAAATGTATTGTTTTCAGTAGACTTCTACATGTCAATCTTCAGTAGGAAGATGTATGACAGTACTATTAAATAACGTGTTCATTTCACAAGATGCATTCGACAAATGCAATTTTTATGTGTCAAACATGCTTGATCTCTGTACATAAAATGAAGACTGTTTCAAATGGGGAAGAATACACACTATATTTGCCATTTAATCCTGTGTTTGTTGTTAATTTAAACATTTGAAAAACAATTACTGAAATCAATATGTTACCAAATATCTCATTTAAAATCTTAAACTAAATCAGAATAGATATCAGGAACATTGGGCCTTATTTGTTTACTGACTGGCTTACAAATTACATTCCCATTGCTCATAGTCATGTAAACCAACACAATAAGTATTTATGAACAAGATTACACTACAGCAAATTTTGATGAAGATTTGACAGAGCACTGCATACAGTCATAATATTGTCAAAATGAGGCACAAGGTTGATCTTCAGGGTGGTGCTCAGAATCTTGAAGTTTTTTACTCTTTCTATAGCCCTCTCAACATGTATTCTGGCCCGTGACAGCCTCCTTCCAATTTCGATTTCTTTAGGGCTGAGCTGAGATTTCCCCCGTGTAAATGCTGGTATGGCAAGCTGCGCACCACATGCAGCAAGGTCATCCGAAATAAGGAATCCGCGATCAGCAAGGATCAGATCCCCATGTTCCAGAAGCTGAAGGAATCCTGAGCGCTGTGTGATGACTTTGTCCGAAACCCTTCCACCAAAGGCTCGACACAAAGGTGACAGCTCCATGGGGTGCAATTCCTAACAGAAACTTTATAGTGTTATGGCTTTTATAGTTGGACCATGTCATAGCTCGTTGCAGTGAAATTGCCAGGCCTCTCAATAAATATTTTCGCAACAGTCTATAATGACCCTGCACTTTCTGTAAGATTGTTTGATCACTTTGGGCATATTTCTTATATATATCGTCACTTTCAGGCCAATGTATCAGGAATGATAATTTGTGGGCAAGTGGTGGAATGGTCTTACTGATTAAATCATTCACAGTTTGTCTTGACACTCCAAATCTGTAGGCCAAGTCCTGGTCTACTAGATTCAAACGTAGCTTCATCAGCACCAACATGAGCACACTGGCAGGAGTTAGAGTCATCGAGACAGGAAGTATATGTGCACAGAACTGAACTAACCACAAGAAGCTGGCATGACTAGAGATACCTGTGAAAAACAATGTCTTTCCATCCTTCTTGTCTCCTTCCAAAATCGGTCACTGAACCTACAAGCTCTGAGCTGATGTCTTGTATCCTGTAATTCAGCTTGTAGGTTTTCTACCTCTGTGAGCAGCTGTCTCTTTTAGGCTTTCAGTTTCATGATCACTTCAATGCAGGGGTCATGTAAGTCTGGAAAACAAATTGAATTATTAAATGACTATTTACCTTAAAGGTGAAAATACAAACTATGTGAAAGGAGGATGTATGATAAGGGTCCCTTTGTTCACTTCTTTTCATGTTTGATAACATATTGGAAAAATACCTATGAAATAATTAGTGAACATTCAAGTTGATAATAAACAACATAATATTTTTGATCATCATTCCAGGTTTCCTTATGGAAAATACTACATTAAGAACTAAAATATGGCTTCCTATATAAATATTTCCATTCATGAAATAGAACTTTCAGATACCTCGTGCAGGCTGATTTTCTTCTTCTTCAACACCTTGTTCACTCTGCTCATTGAGGGAAGAATTGAGTGACAACTCAAGTAGAATTGAGGCAGCATTACTTCTTTCTTGGCTATCCTTGGCTTGTTTGTTCTTGGTATCTTCTAATCTGTGCCCTGTAAAACGATCTTTCCTCGCTTCAGGTGTCATCATGGATGCAGTCTTATATCCCATGTTGACATGTGGAACATAGTCTGGATCACTTGGGTCACTTCTAGCAGATCCTGGAAATAAATTCAAAATCTTAACTGCAAATCACACATTTATATAAAAGAGAAAATAATGTGAGGATCTTACCTAGATTTCCAAAAATATAGCTCATTTGGCATACGCTTATCAAAATAAAAAAAGATATTCTGATCGAAAACTGGACAGTTCTATCAAACCAACATTATTACATTTGATATGTTAGAAAAAAATAAAAACATGTTTTTAAAATAAATATTAAAAGGTGACTATCGTATATCATTGTTGGGTTCCCCCATTATCTTGTTGATGGTTCACAGTACATACTGATATATGAAGCCATAACCCATTTGCCACAACGTACTATCTACAGAATCACAAGATTATCACGATGACAATGAAACAATGAAAATTATGGGTTGTTGGCCAAAGAAATGTAAATATTCAAACCTGATGCAAAGTGAACTCCACAAACTCGATCACCATCATGATCAGGCGTCCAATTCTTGCGGTTGATCGCTTGAAGCCACTTGCGTCTTCTTTCATCGGCAGTCGGAATTCGATGAAATTTCAAGCCTGAACCTTTTTGAAATCTATTCGTGCAACCAACTACCACGCACGACACAACCATGTTACTTAGATTCCAATGTAAGCGATAAATTATGCAGGAGAAATGGATCTTATTCGTATAATGCTAGAACGTCTTCTCGCTAATGCGTTGTCTGCTGTTGTGTTGACACTTTTCTGCCTACCGGAAGTTAGGGTAGGCCACGTGATCAAAACAATGAGGTCACGCTGGCATTTCCTATTATAGGTCTTGAAATTCATACTTTGTTTTCTGCGTGTAGCAGGGCGTGACATCCTTACCCTGTCAGCTTGGTGACGGGGTTAACCCCTTTAGTCATTTGAATATCGCGTCTGACTTCCGATCAGAATGTCCATGGTTCGAATCCCAGCGCGGGACTCGGAAATTGTACGGCCGCTACATTGGCGACCAACGTGGGGCTGAGCACGTTCATATCAAATAGGGGGTCTCAGTACCCTATTTTGCGGCTCGGGGGCGTGTCTTCTGTTGTCGGGGAACATGTACCAGGGCGGAGTCATCCTACAGTTGACATCCTTACCTTGTCAGCTTGCCGACGGGGTTAACCTCTTTGGTCATGCGGACAAGGCGTCCGACTTCGATCAGAAGGTCCGTGGTTCGAATCCCAGCACGGGATGCGGTAAGCCTATTGTCGGAATATGTTTTCGGACATCATACATTTTCGGACGGCAGTATTTACTCGCGCGATATGACGAACATGTTTTTCCTCACAAGACACTGTAAACATTAGCTTGTGTTTAAGATACGTATCAGGCAGTAAAACAACGATTGATCTGAAACCCTTAGTGCTACCCTCGGTTATGAAGGATGCTATATTTTCATAGTGTAATGGCATTCATCCTGGGCAAAAAACGAATGGGCAAAAAACAATTCGCCATATTCGTCAGTTCGTTATTAGCGTATGGTATTCGATACAACTGGACAGCTTTGAACTGGCGTAAGACGGGAAAACAATTGTTAGTCAGTCATGTTTTTAATGGTTTGACGACCCGTGAAGGTCCGGGTTAGAATTGATCATCAGTAACCAATGCTAGTCGTAAGAGGCAACTAACGGGATCGGGTGGTCAGGCTCGCTGACTTGCTTGACACATGTCATCGTATCCAAATTGCATAGATCAATACTCATGCTGTTAATCACCGGATTGCCAGACTCCATTATTTACACACCGCCACCATATAGCTGGGATATCGACGAGTGCGACGTAAAACAACAAACCAAACAACCAACATTCTTCCTGGACCCTTTCGTCACCATTGTTTCAATTGTCACCATTGTTTCAATTACGAATGACAAGGCAAAAACAGTTTCAAAGCAAAGACGTTGCTGATCATGACTTTCTATGACCTTCATTAAACCAACAACGTAATGCCAGAGGTACAGGTAAGCTGCTTGTCTGCGTAGATTACGCAAGGGGCGGTGGGGTAGCCTAATGGTTAAAGCGTTGGCTCGTCACGCCGAAGACCCGAGCTCGAATCCCCCCCACATGAGTACTATGTGTGAAGCCCATTTCTGGTGTCCCCCGCCGTGATGTTGCTGGAATATTGCTAAAAGCGGCGTAAAACCAAACTCAGTCAGTCAGTCAGTAGATAACGCAAATATTTATGTGAAAACTCAATCCCTATCAAGTCTATTGCGTACAAGTACGCTTGAAGTTTTGTCAATACTCAGTAAGTTTGATCTTACATGCGAACAAACAAAAACAGATAAAATAACTGAGGTATATTGAGAAGTTCTATTTCAGCACCTCAACTTGGCAACTTGCAGTCTTTCTTCTATAACATATGAAATATAAATAACAAACACGTAAACCAACATTTAAACTTTATTATATTTTTACAATTAATGGAAAATGGCTAAATACCCAACTGAGCTTGAGTGAGGTGGATACAATTTATTTGGTTAATCAAAGGAAAATTAGGATACCCAATTGAGGTGACCACAAGCGAGTGCATAACTCAGTGACCCAAAAAGTTATCTGTAGCTCTGTAATGCTAAGGGGCATGATTCGAAGGGACACTTACACAAAAATATGTGTGGCTGATATGTGCACGGATTACCGTAGTGGTGATCGTTGCTAATGATTTTTCGACATAACCCACTCCGAAGTTCACACATTTCAGTCAACGATGCAGGTGTGCCTTAAACCCACAGGTGTAGACAGCAGGTGCGAAAGAAATCTCCCAGAAATGACGTCAGCAGCATTTAACATGGCTGTTTCAGTCAACGAATCAACGTACTGTCTCTGGGTGTGAGTGAGTTGAGTTTTACGCCGCACTCAGCAATATTCCAGCTATATGGCGGCGGTCTGTAAATAATCGAGTCTGGACCAGACACTCCAGTGATCAACAGCATGAACATCGATCTGCGCAATTCGGAACCGATGACATGTGTCAACCAAGTCAGCGAGCCTGACCACCCGATCCCGTTAGTCGCCTCTTACGACAAGCATGGGTTACTTAAAGGTCACATGCAACGTAAAACACAACTTTGCAGATTCTGATACCTTTCGGTATGGACTTACCGAAACAAATCATCAAAAATGCAAATTCAACTTATAAAGTTGAAAAATATCGCGATGAAAAAACCCGCGGCAAATCGTAGTTCAAACGATTCACTAACTTCCCCCCAGCGCTTGGGGGAATTGAAGTGGTTTCAACAGCTGGGCTGCGCTCATAGCACATGCGCAGTGAAATAGGTTCGCGGAGCTTGGAAGCGGGTTGTCCGGTGAATATTCGGTGAAGGCTTTGGTGTGAGCTATTTTTCTAATGTTTTATTGATATTTCACAGGCGCGAGCTTTTTATATGTTATTACAGTAGATTACCGATTTAACCGTTTATATAATTTCATTTGTCTATTTCACCACACGTTCTTCTTACCGAGTCACTTTCTCAGTTCGATACTTGAAAACAATGTCATTATTTAGCGTCGACAGAATTTCTAACTGTGATATAGATATGTCGTTGTCACAGACAAAACTCAATGTCTGTATTATTGGCACCTATGTGTCTGCCTGCCCGTCTGCTAATGACAATATTCAATACACAATTTCAATCACTGACCACATGCAATTTGAACTTAACACCTATCAGGCTATACACCATAAACAAAACGCATTGATTTATGGCCCCAGTTCGGTCTGTCACATTATGTAATTGCACAGACAGGCAGGTGTGATACTTGTACACATGACATGTTATGATGTCTGTTGATTGCAAAATGTTATACACAAAAAATAAGCATGTATTTACAAAACCCAACATCTCTAAATATACACACACATTGAGCCGTGAGTGGCATCTGCAAATGAACCAGCCGTTACACTTGAGTGCACACCCACCCGCTCTGACTGGGTTCAGCATCGCGGCTGCTTCGTTTCTAGGGAAGTAAACCAAAGTACAAAATATTGCACCTTTGATTTGCGATTGTACATTTAATTTCGTTTAAATGTTTTTTTCATAATCAGCAATGTATACTATATGTCATGAATAAGTGATTATTGGGTTTTAATTATGTTTGATTTTTTGGTTGCATGTGACCTTTAAGGCTCATTCTATCCCGGACCTTCACGGGTTGTTGTCTCTGGATAGATATCAGGTGACTTTATAGAAAACCAATCTTGGACAGTGTCCACAAAATGTTCTGAAGCACTATGGCATTCGTAAGCCTATGGTATAGTATAGAGTTACGATAGGTCGTAACGTTACGGCCACTTTGTGGATCGGGACTCCACCATTTCTGCGAGAGCTACACAACAGGCACAACATTTGCGTAAAACTCGTTCTGTCTTTAAGGATGAAGAAAATTGTGAAAAGATGTTGCCAAATCGGGTGAAAATGCAGGATCTGGCCTTTATAACCACTGGACTGATCATTTTTAGGGAGGGGCGTTTATATTTCCTTGTATCTAGATCTGCTACATTAAATGAGTAGATGTTGCGATGACACAGGAAACATTACAATAGAAGTACTTGGTATACTTAGCTTATACTTCAGGACATCCTAATTCACTCAATGAATCACAGTGTTCACCCGGTCCGGTTATCACAGCTTCCCAGTGAAGTAGTCCGATCTCACCATCCATGCTCTTTCTCGAGTAAGTGAGAGCCACACAACAGAATCACTTGGAACAGACATGACGTGGAAGAGGTAAGTTTGTAGTTGATTATTCTTATTATGATTGCACTGCTCTAGAATGAACACTTCTTACGATAACTTATGTAAGTGCAGTGGCGATTAATGTAATGTTTATCGGGGAAGTATGAAATGCTTTGACACTATGCTTTGGTGTCACCACGCAGGATTTAATTTCATAAAATGGCGACATTTGTGGTATGCGTGTGTGTGTTTGCGTGTGTGTGTGTGTGTGTGTGTGTGCGTGCGTGCGTGTGTGTGTGTGTGTGTGTGTGTGTGTGCTTGTGCTTGTGCGTGTAACCTCCAACCGAGTCAGGAGAAACCGGTATAGTGCTGCCAGTGTAGAACCCTGACTGAAGAACTAAAACACGTAATTGTATTTTAAACGAAACATGTCCTTAGTAAACGGACATGAATTTCTGAATATGATGATAAAAACAACCGCACAACGAATCCTTAATCAACGCAGTGATTTCGGATAGGAAAAGGTCGCCAGCATCCTTTGCTGATCTTAATGGATTGGATAATGAGGTGAGGTGAGGTGATGTGAAATGAGGTTAAACGTGGTGCTTAAGAATATTTCGCTCAAATAACGCCGTGCATGTGTGTGTATGTGTGGCTGCTTGTACTAGCCCAGACTTAAAGCAAGTTTCATAGTGCTAGCTCACTGAGATACCATGCCACAGTTAAGCATGAATACCCAACTCAGACACATTATACTAACTCCGAGCCGACCAGTCCTTGTACCCATTAATGCCGAGCGCCAGACAGGGACCAACAAGTACCATATCTTTTGGTATAACGCGGCCGGGGATCGAACCCGCGACCTTTCGCTCTTTCGGATAATGAGACCCGGTGATTGAGTATCATCGTACGGACTGGACTGGTGCTCATAACATAGATCACCGTTTTTTTTGGCTCAATTATTCATAGACCACCGCCTCATATCTTTAACGTTGACTTGGAGTGCATAATCATAAAAGGAGATACTCCATCGTCGAGAGACCGTCGTGACTTATGCCTCGACCGCTGTCGACTCAGCTCTTCCCGTACAGCCCAACTCGTGTTCATAGTACTCATCAGTGGGGTGGTGGGGTAGCCTCGTGGTTATTGCATTCGGACATTCCTCAAACAAACACATAACACTCCGTTCCAAGCAGCGCTAAGCCAATTTAATCCCCCCTCTTACTCAGTCTTACTACGTCAGAAGCAGTAGTTTCTCAAAATGTCCTCTCAAATATTTCTTAAACAACATCTCAAACGCATTTCTTGAACCTTTTTTTCTTTTTCTATATTCAGAGGCCATATTGGAATGTCATCCCTCTGCCACCTTCTCCTCGTCCTTCTGCTGGTGATGCTGACATCTACAGAACGCCGCGGTAACTGTGGCAACAACTGGTGCAGCTGTAACAATATCACCAAACAAGCAACATGCAAAGGTCACGGAAGGAAACTTACATATATTCCAAGGCTACCACAGTTCATAACTGACCTGGATTTCTATCGCAACTTTCTTCCAAACATTTCCTCAAAAACCTTCAAAAACATTCAATCACTCAAGTTAAAAAGGTTAAGTCTGACATCAAACAGGATAACAAGAATGTCCGCCTACTCATTTATTCATCTAACTACTTTAACAGAGTTGAGTCTTGATGGAAACATTTTCTCAGGAAACTCTTTAGCAGAAACATTCCCAACTTTGAGCCATCTTCCTCTTAAAACGTTATCGCTACGTCGACTGAAGTTGAACGATTCACGCATCTTTCAGCGATTATACAGTCGTACAATGAAGTCTCTGGACCTAGACAGAAACGAGTTTGAAACTTATAACCAGGCTGACTGTAGCGGCCTCTCCAACATCCAGACTTTATCACTGGCTTATAACTTTATCCGTGAAGTAGCTCTGGCGTACGCCCCATCGTTACTCTCCTTGACTCTGAAAGACAACTATATTTCCAGGTTTCCTAATTTTTGTAGGACGAATGGGTCCTATTTCCCGAGCCTTGAATCTCTGAAGCTGGACCATAATGACTTATACACGCCAATTGAGGGTCGTTACATTCAGTGCTTAAAGAATTTGTCTGTCTTTTCTATCAACAGCAATAATCACATTGCGGAGATAAAGTCAAATTCATTCTCGGAAATGCCCTCGTTAACTAACGTAATCCTCAAGAATGTAGGAGGTGGCTCCCTTTATATAGACCAGTATGCTTTCAACAACAGTAAAATACAATACATCTCTTTACTATCAAGTGGTGTGATCTTCAAGACTCATGTGCACAAAGACGCATTCAAAGGATGCCCCAATCTGCTGTCAGTTGATGTTTCTTATAATAGACTCTCAAACACATCCGACCAGGAACTAAACGACTGGTTTGGACACTTAACATCTTTAACAGGAATTGGCCTTGGGAGCTGTGGATTGATATCGTTTCCAAAGTTTATTTCAGTTTCCTTGCACAACTTGCAATACCTGAAACTGTATGAGAATGGCTTTGACGAGTTACCCGTTGGTAGCCTGACACCTTTGAAGAATCTTACCCATATCTGGCTATCAAAAAACCGATTAGCCAGAATAGATGAACGCGTCTTCACCTCCGAAGTCCAACAAAAGCTTCAAATTGTTGATTTTATGCACAACCCTTTTGCATGTAACTGTGAAATCCTCTGGTTCCTAAACTGGATAAAGTCGGACAGTAACAAGTTCATAGACTATCCGAAGAACTATTTGTGTTCCAGTCCTGGGGAAATGAGAGGTAGAGTACTCTCCAAAGTAAATATGCCTAAACAGTCTTGCCTCCTCCCTTTCCCAGCTATCTTTGTCCTAATTGGTGTGTGTGGGATATGCTTCTTTGTCCTCATCTCGGGGTCTGTTGCATACAGGTATCGATGGCACATTCGGCATTATGTGTACCAGAGACGATACCAGAGGGGGGAATTCCAGCGACTCGACAACGTAGAGATTATATATGATGCTTATGTAATATATAGTTTGGAGGACATCAGATGGATAAAGAACGAACTCATTCCAAAAGCCGAGGAAACTCATGGATCCAAACTGTACATTCGTGACCGAGACTCTTTGGCTGGTCTCCCTATTGTCGATAATGTTGTTAATAATCTGAATGTAAGTAAAACCATCCTGATTCTTCTGTCTAATGCCATGGCCAGAGATGAGCAGTGTCAGTTCGAGCTGATGTTTGTCCAGAGACACCTGGAAGGGGAGAGGAATCCCATCATCCTGGTGCTGCTGGAGGAGGTTCAGGTGGCCCACCTGACTCAGTCAGTGTACGCCCTGGTCAGAATGCATCCCTTTATCCCCTGGGGAGACGAGGAGGATGCCAGAAGATTATTTTGGGATCGCTTATTTTTATCACTTAATCCTGAGCGCGGAGTGAGGACAGATGCCGTTGATGCTTAAATTGTTGACTGTGACACACTGGATCAGTTGCGGCTTCTTTTTGGATCGCTTATTGTCATCACTGGACAATGGCTGAAAAGTCAGACCAGAGGCTGGACATGGTCAACACCTCCCAGGAAATGTCAGTTCATTCTTTGTTGTGAAAAGGTGTAGAACTCAATGACTTTTACATTCGTGACCAATTCGTGTTATTCCGGGACAAGCCGAATAGCGACGTCTTCTTGGAGGATACGGAAAGGGGCAAGGTGACAAATGTGACTTTTAGTCCCGGTATCACAATGGCGTTGCTTGATACGCGGCCAGTTGTGAAGGTTGTAGATGTTTATAACTATGGTGTTGTGTGGTTTTGTGCATAGACCTCAGGTCCCAAAACAGTTGAAATTAAGCAACGTTGGTCATGGAGAGTAGTCCTTGAGTAGGTAACCGTGTTTGGCAGCTTGACTCCTGAAAGTTTCTAAGTCTTCAGTCCTGCCCTACAACGAAGGAGACGTGACACATGTGGTCTCACCTTAGGCAAGCGAGCCTTTGTTCACCCAGCAGTGAATGGGTACCCGGTGGGATAAGTCAACATTCTGGCGCCTCACAGGCAACCAGGGGTAATACTGTCCATTATGTTGTATTTGAACTAAAGCGTTCATTCCCTATATTGAAGTATGTACATGACATGCATCCTGACATTATCCACACAGCTACTTAGAGTATTTATTAGGATGTATGCATGCTTCATTATCTGCTGTACCATGTATGAAGTCACCGCATGTTGTTGACGTGTAACCAGTTCATTTTGACAGACTGGATGATTGGCGGAGTCAGTGGTGATGTCAAGGTGAACTTTCGGACTGATCAATGAACAATGAGTTTGGGACAGTGGAGTTAAGTGAATTACACTTGTGCTGTATATAAGCATGTCATTCTGAACTCCGGTTAAAGCGAAACACTGTAAAAGCCCGAATACCGGGTTCTTACTCTGACACATTGAACGATTGTGAGTGTCATTTCCTGTACATATATATTTGAGTACCTCAGGCCTCAGCTTCCTGAATTATACTGTACAATATCCCGAGGATAAGACCAAGGAAATAGTTTCGCTGTTTCTATCACACTATTGCAGTTTAATGTACTTGCTCTAATACATTTCACATTTTCAAGAAGACTCGAAAGCGTCAATATGTAGGATAATAATCCTTGTGATGAAAGTTTCACTTTGTGAAAACACTTGCTTGAACTCACATTTTCAAGAAGACTCGAAAGCGTCAATATGTAGGATAATAATCCTTGTGATGAAAGTTTCACTTTGTGAAAACACTTGCTTGAACACACGGAAGGCGAAACTGGAAATTCTTTCACAAAAGAAACTTAAGCCTTTCATGGAATCTAACAATGGACAAATTATCCATTTAACTTTCTGTGAAAAAACGTCAGTACGAATTCAAAATTAGATAGGCACTGTAATCAAATCATTACAGAAATGGACATAATAAACTGATCAAAAACCTTTTGTGTACAATATCTTGACACATCAATGAATAACTCAGCAGAATTTGAAGACATTACGTGAACGTTTGCAATCCAGACTCTTGACTTCAGTATCTAGTGTGACCACCACGAGCGGCAATAACTGCAGCACAGCGTCTATGCATGGAGTGCACCAAACGATTGATGATCGATATGGCTGAAATATTGCCGATGTGACGTTAAATATTAACTCACTCACTCACCCAAACGATTGATGAAGGCCATTGGCACCTGGAACCATACACTGAGAAAGGCCTGGCGCAATAAATCGGCTGTGTTCGGCCTTGGTATGACATTATTCAATCTCCTCTGAATTTCATCCCAAAGATGTTCAATTGGGTTTAAATCAGGACTAAGGGCTGGCCACTGCATAATGTTGACACCGTTCTGCTGTAGGAAGTCCCGTGTAGCTCTGCCAGTATGGGCCCGGGCGTTATCATGCTGGAAAATGTTGTTCCGGTGACATGCGAAATGTGGTATGACGTGGGGTCTGAGAGCTTGGTCGATGTAGCGCACCGCTGTGATGGCGCCTCCTCTCCCTGGACCAAGGTTCTGGAACACCACAGGACCCACTCTCTGGTTCAGGCCTATTCCACCCCATACCATGATACTTGCACCTCCCCATGAGTCTCTTGAACTGTAGACGTTCACGCAGATGACGAGGGGTAAGGATAGGTCCACGGTATACGTAAGGTCTACGGCAATGGAGGTTCCCGCTGTTAAGACGTCGGCGTACTGTATCAGTACTGATTGGTCTTTCGTGTGTTCCCACTGTCTGGCGTGCTGTTTCGGATGCCTGCATGAAGGGGATTCTGTACATGCTGTCGCACAACATGGCGGTCTTGTCGTCTTGTGGTCACCCTTGGTCTGCCAGTACGGGGGCGATCATTTGTGGTGTTGATTGTCCGGAAACGTTGCTTCCGCCAGTAGATGGTCCGAACGTTGACCTGGAAGTGATTGGCAACGGCTTGTGCAGTGTGACCAGCTTCACAAACCGAAACATGAGTCTCATTAACCTATTCAGGCAATGTCTTACTTTTCAGCAGATCTGAATTTGCTCGTGTGAGCAAAAGATGATAAATATATCATAGATGTAATATTGAATTAGCCTTGATAGCATTCAGATTTAAAATAGATTCTGCTTTGATAGCTTGGATATCGACGAGTGCGACGTAAAACAACAAAACAAACAACCAACATATTCTTCCTGGACCCTTTCGTCGCCATTGTTTCAATTACGAATGACAAGGCAAAAACAGTTCCAAAGCAAAGACGTTGCTGATCATGACTTTCTATGACCTTCATGAAACCAACCACGTAATGCCAGAGGTACAGGTAAGCTGCGTATCTGCGTAAATTACGCAAATATTTATGTGAAAACTCAATTCCTATCAAGTCTATTGCGTACAAGTACGCTTGAAGTTTTGTAAATACTCAGTAAGTTTGATCTTACATGCGAACAAACAAAAACAGATAAAATAACTGAGGTATATTGAGAAGTTCTATTTCAGCACCTCAACTTGGCAACTTGCAGACTTTCTTCTATAACATATGAAATATAAATAACAAACACGTAAACCAACATTTAAACTTTATTATATTTTTACAATTAATGGAAAATGGCAAAATACCCAACTGAGCTTGAGTGAGGTGGATACAATTTATTTGGTTAATCAAAGGAAAATTAGGATAGCCTACCATGCAATTGAGATGACCACAAGCGAGTGAATAACTCAGTGACCCAAAAAGTTATCTGTAGCTCTGTAATGCTAAGGGGCATGATTCGAAGGGACACTTACACAAAAATATGTGTGGCTGATATGTGCACGGATTACCGTAGTGGTGATCGTTGCTAATGATTTTTCGACATAACCCACTCCGAAGTTCACACATTTCAGTCAACGATGCAGGTGTGCCTTAAACCCACAGGTGTAGACAGCAGGTGCGAAAGAAATCTCCCAGAAATGACGTCAGCAGCATTTAACATGGCTGGTTCAGTCAACGAATCAACGTACTGTCTCTGGGTGTGAGTGAGTTGAGTTTTCCGCCGCACTCAGCAATATAATATGGCGGCGGTCTGTAAATAATCGAGTCTGGACCAAACAATCCAGTGATCAACAGCATGAACATCGATCTGCGCAATTCGGAACCGATGACATGTGTCAACCAAGTCAGCGAGCCTGACCACCCAATCCTGTTAGTCGCCTCTTACGACAAGCATGGGTTGCTGAAGGCTCATTCTGACCCTGACCTTCACGGTTTGCTGTCTCTGGATAGATATCAGGTGACTTTATAGAAAACCAATCTTGGACAGTATCCACAAAATGTTCGAAGCACTATGGTATTCGTAAGCCTATGGTATAGTATAGAGTTACGATAGCTCGTAACGTTACGGCCACTTTGTGGATCGGGACTCCACCATTTCTTATTTAAGCGAGAGCTACACAACAGGCACAACATTTGCGTAAAACTCGTTCTGTCTTTAAGGATGAAGAGAATTGTGAAAAGATGTTGCCAAATCGGGTGAAAATGCAGGATCTGGCCTTTATAACCACTGGACTGATCATTTTTAGGGAGGGGCGTTTAGAGATCTGCTACATTAAATGAGTAGATGTTGCGATGACACGAGGAAGCGTTACAATATCTGTTGCGACCAGAACTGGGATAACTAATATGGAGAATTATACGTCTTACTTTCAACTATTTAATTAATCGAGAAACAATTATTAAGATCAAAATCAGCTGCACAACTCGTGTCCTTTATTTTAACTACTGATTGCAAAAAATGCCAATGGCAGCGCTCCATAGTCGATGTCCGCCATAATAGCTAAATATAGCAGCGCAAAAAATGTAGAAACGTGAAACTGAAACGAAATAGAATTCATTTTCATGCGCTTTACTGTAATTACTCTACTAGCTTAAAATAAGTGAGCGACCAATTAATGTTCCTGGTTGTGGATGCTGAATTTAGGTGTCAGGTGTTTTTCATTCATTTTTTATTCATAATGATTCATTCATTCCCAGAAATGGTTACTGCTCAACTTGAAATATGACTTTCTTGCAATATCTAATGATATTTTAAAATATAGCTAATTATTCCTTTTAACAATATATGTGTATGCCCACAAATGGAACCAGAAAATATAGGATGTGAATGGTATTGGATTTTGAATTTATATTTTAATAATTATGCTAATATGTGTAAAAATATAGTAAGTTGTATCTAAATATCGGCAAGCCTGGCCATTTTTGCACAGTGTTTTATGTAATAATACAGTAAATAGTTTCTTTTAAAGTAAGAACGGGAAATAAAAGAAAATTAAATTATGTCATAATTATCTTTTTAATGATGTTACATCCATTCTTGATGGGTATGTATGTATAACAATTCAAGTTTGTTTTGGGGATTTAAGACTTCTAAGTTATTTGTGTTATGTCATTTGTGAGAGTATATAAGAGATTAGTATGTTGCTTGGTCATACTTTTCAGAGAATATTTCTTATGAAATACTCGAAAAATATACAGTTTCGTGTACACATTCATGACACTGTAAAAAGAGTGGTGATCTATTATTTATAATGGTAGGGTGTATTCAGTAACACACCATCACACATAATACTATGCTGATAATGCTGAGTTAAAGGTCCAGTTAAAGTTCTCATCCCCAAAAGTTCACATGGCCCCCTAAGCAGTTAGTGGCTCCCTATTTTTATAACATGTTTAGCCTCCAAGTAATGTTGTGTTAATATTACTGCTATTATCATATAAGATTTGCCAATAATGATCATTTATAGCTTTCATCATTATTGTGTACATGGAAGCTGTTTGTAACAGACACCAGACATACAAGGCATAATTACTTCAGAATGAAAAAAGTGGGAGAGTTTGTGCCCCATCTCAGAAGGCTATAGTTATAACTTTGAAGAAAATGATGGTGTAGAAATTATCCAGAAACATTTCTTTAATGTTCCTTTGAAAATCCCCTTCCTGGTCAGCTTGATATAAATGGGAAATTCACTGAGCCCTTCATAGAAGCTTGAAATTGTTATTCCATGCATTGTCATCAATAACATTATATTTGCTGAACTAATTAGCGGTTAGAGTTGTCCCCCCTTCACAATTTGCTTGAAAGGGTCATCTGCTCATTGTGTGAGAAGGCCAAGCAGCTGAAGATTCTTTGATGACATATTGTTACTGAGATGAAACTGTCAAGGTAAATGATGCCTTCATATTTACTTTTTTGTGTGTAATTTTCCCCAGAAACCAATGCTACCTGATGTGGATATGGTTGTCAGGCTCAATGACTTAGTCATTGTCCAGCATCAAGTCTCAATGTTTGCATGTGTGGATACTTATGATCTCAATAACTGGATTGTCTGGTACAAACTCAGTTATTTACAGATATCATGTAGCTAGAATATTGTGTAGCAACAAACAACAAACAAACGAAAACAATTTATGCCAGCTTTGGATTAGGGAATTTGTGTGATAAATGTAGTCAAGGAAATTAAAACATGCAATATTGCCTCACTGCTTTTAGATTTTGCCCATAAGTATGAAGTATAAGAACCCAAAAGAAAATAACAAATTCCATTAAAATATATAGATTTTGAACTTGTTCCACTTCAAACACTTTTGGTTGAGGGAATATAAGTAATACTATTAAGCA